AGCTCTTAAATCTTCTTCAGCTGTACATTTTATGTATAAAATTGCAAATTTCAAGCTTTACTGATGGACAGGCAAGGGAAGGATGCTCAATTTTTGCTCAAATATGTTTGTAGTTTATATATATAACTAAGAACCATGTTAATTTTTTAGGTTTTTTTTATTATGTGTAAAATTGAGAAACTGTACTTTCTTTTGTATCAAGGTTCATTATTTCTATTTGTGGAGTTATAAAAGCTTTATAATTTTGTTTTGTTTTTCTTATTAAAATAAAAAGAAATCCTTTGGTTAATGTACTTACATCTGAATTTTGTTGACTGTTTTTGTCATAATAACTGGATACAGCATTTCCTGTTTTCTTGATCTGGCCGCCTGCAGTGCTACCCGAGTTCTGAGCCAAGACTTTCATTGTCTTTTTTACAGGATCACTTTTCTGTTGCCTTGTTTGTCCATCATTCTCCATGTTTCTTCTTTGTTGCCAAGCGATAGGCTGTCCTGATTGAGTTTTATTACCGTCTTGTACAAGGTGAGAATTAACCGTTGTTGTGTATGTCTGTTTTGCCTGTTGTTGTTGTCTAAGTTGCTGTTGCCATAGTTTCTGATGAAGTTGGTGTAGTTGAGATTGTACATGGCTATACTGCTGTTCAAGGTCAGAACTCACTTGTCTCTCTGACTCTAGTTCCTCTTGTATGCTGTAATGTTTAATACACTTTGTTGAATGTAATTCATTTTACTGGGTTTAAGGTGCAATTCCTCAAAATGAACCAAATATTTCAAGAAAATCAAACTTGAGAAAATTGCACTGAGATTTTAAGAAAATTATAAAGATTCAACATAAAATAAATAATTTTGATGTTTATTATGTGTGATTAATGATGATTTTGCAGTATTTTTCACCATAAACATGCATTTACTGTGTTACTAATGCAGCAATGGCTATTTTTGCATATTTTAACTTCTTTATGGTGATTTACATAGGTTGCAAGTGCTGTTTGCAATGTGTAAATTATTTTCTTTGTTCTTTCCAGATTATTTTACTTTTTTAATTCATTTCCAAAATTTTCATGAAAATTAGGTATCTGGAGGCGTGCTACTTTAATTTATTGTGTTAGGTTTAAGTACTTCCATGCAGTTTATAATAAGTGTTTCTGGATACTGTACCAACACTAATTTAAGTTTGCAAATTCCTCACAAAAGATAATTTGAAACAGTGTTAAATAACAAGAGACACATTGACATTGAGCAAATTGCCATGAAAAAAATATGGGCCTCCTTGTCCTGATGTGTGAACTCGCAGTTGATCTGTAGACCTAAATATGCTTTTCCAACATACTAAGTTTTATATACCTATTAATTTTCAAATAATGCAAGGGAAACAACTATGCAATTCACTGGGAAATATTCATTTATTGCTATAAGGAAACTACCCGGTACATGTTATAATTAATTTAATATTTACATTTTTACAATCAATTTTTTTAACGTCTAGAAGATCTTTTAAAAAAGCAAGGAGAAGTATGACTGGAGCCAACAAAATAGTTGTAAAAAGTAGGATTCTCAACTTGTATAGTGAAATGAATTATAATCAATTGTTATATGAATTCATGGTGTAATGTTTTAATTTATTTATTAATCTAGATATTGTAAGTAAAAAAAAAAGAATACTGTAATATGTATGAACATATACATATACTAGTAAATCAGTCAATGAATTTACGATTTTGAATTTACTGGCCCGAATTCCAGTTTTGAATTTCATCTACAGAGTATATATTTAAACAAATTTTCTTAAAATTTACACTGGCCCGAACTACTTTACACTGGCAATGCCCCACCAGGCCAGTGCTAAATTCGATGACTGGTATATATTATATTACAATATTGCATGTTCGTAACATAGTCCATGTTGTTTCTATCAACTATATAAATGCCTGCTGTGAAAGTATGAAGTAATTTTGTTTTCCTCAAATAAGGGAAGTTTGCTGTACATTGTATTATAATTTTTTTTTATAAAATTCTTGACAGCTAATATGTACAGGATATTCAAGTTTTTTTTTTTTATAAATACAGTATTTATTGTCCTCCAGTGGTATGAAAATAGATATTTCATGAGTGGCAGTAGCCACAAGTGTGAAATATGATAATATTCATAAAGCAAGATGAAATTAATCCTGTATTTATAGAAAAAAAAATTATGTTATATTATATACATTTTTCTCATTTTTGACAAACTGTCACTTAAACTTCGTGAATTGACTGAAGTATGGCTAGACATCAATGAAAATACGGAAAATTTGTCTTTCTGCACAGTGAAAAATAAACTTATACAGTGAAAATGCGCATTTTATTTCATCAATATTTTTCAATATTTCATTTATAAGTATTTAATAAATGGCTGCATATAATCGTTGTTTGCATTATATTCACAAATAGCCTTTTGTATAGGGCCATATAGCCTACCCAAAATTTTTCTACCTAATAATATAACGAATTACCGTATAAACTCAGGATCTGTGGTTGGAATCTTGGTAACTGTTAGTTTTTCCTCTTCCAAATCTGTTGATTTCTGGAGCTCCTCACACAGGCTTGATGTCAACTCTAGAATATGTACCAAAACATTTATCAAGTCAAACATTTTTTTATTTATCTAAAACTCAGATCATAAAACATTTTTAACATTGTTTATTATCTGTTTTATGGAATTTCAGTATCAGAACAATAAACTTGAGCAATTACAGTATAGAATTATTATCACTATAACATTCAGATACATTATCCCATTAGGCTTTGCATGACTGTTACAATAAAATGTATTCAGGCAACCAAATAAAAGTTGTAATCACCACTGCATGAGGCAGCTGGTACTTTTTTGAGACCTCAGTTGTCAATTGGTTATAGTTGCTGACTTAAGTCCACTTGTCCTCTTTGCTTTGGGTTTGAATTTCACCGAGGATGGCAATTTTATTTTAGGAAGCTATCCTCTTCTCCACCAGACTTTTATGAGTAGGCAGGTTGGTTGATATACCCCATTACATGCGTTTGTCAGAAATACTGCACCAAGGGACATCTGGGGATTTCCATTCCCACTTAATTTAAAAGCTTATCATTGCCTTTTTATTTTGAACTACCACATGACCAGATTTTCCATGAGAGAATGGAAAGTGAAGGTCAAGGTCATTATTACGGAATAATTGCTAGGAAAGGGTCGTTCTTTAGTAAAAATCAATAAATAAATGCGGAAGATATTAATTTTAAAAAAATAAACCACAGGAGAAAATTTTTATTATGACGCATTTGGTTGTAAAAAGACACTGGTAGATCTATCATAATAACGGATTCGGTTAGATTTTGTTACTAATAAATTCCACAAAATGTTGTTACATGGCCGAAATAATTTGCATCGCGTCTGAATCACCAAAATCAAAAAAATACCTTATCAACCTGATGCTAAAGCATTTGCTGTTGATGCATTTACATTGTAATGGAATGAATTAATGTATTTGTTTCCTCCTTTTAGTTTGATCACCCACTGTCTTCAGAAAATAATCCTCAACAGAGTGAATTCAGCGGTATTGATTGCTCCACTATGGCCAATACAGGTGTGGTTCAGTCAATTATTACCACAGATATATGCTCAGTCTTACGAGGTATGACCAAAAAGTTCTCTGGCCTGTTATACTTCTGGCCACTACACTGACATTTACAAACGATACGTTGATTATTGAAGATAACTGACCGAGTTGCATGCGGTTTTACACAGATTAAGTAACATAAAACACACTTTGATCAGTAGAGGAATGTGTCATTTAGATCAAATGGAGAAAGATGAAATCAGAGCCGTCATTAAGTACCTCTGTAAGAAAGGGATGTCCCCAAGGAAATCCATGAGAGGGAGACTATTGGAGATGATGAGCGGCCTGGGCGGCTAAAAGAGGCCACCAACGATAAAACTGCCGAAGCTGAGTTCTATTTTGAAGGGTTAAACAAGTTGGAGCACAGGTGGGCAAAGTGCATTGATGTAGAGGGCGATTATATTGAAAAGTAAGACCATTAGTTGGGTTCTCTGACTACCAGGAGTACAGCGGGCCAGAACTTTTTTTATCAATCCTGGTACATTCTACCAAAACAGCAAACACTAATTCTGCCAAAAAATTCACACAAGCATCATCCTGTTCAGAAGATGTGACCTTATCAGGAAACAGCTCAAAAACAGAGGCCTGTCAGAAAAAAACTAAAATCATTTTACAATCATGGAAAACATCAACAACAAAGCACTACTGTATGGGTCTTATATTAGAAAATGGTTGCTTTTTTTCAAGTTCAAAACGGATTGATTCATTTAACCCATCTAATGTGACAGTGTTAGAATTTTTAACTGAATTATATGATAGTTAGGACTAGGTTATAGTGCTATCAATACAGATATCAAATCAGCTATTTCATATACAATGTACATGCAAATTGATAAATAATAAGGATATTGGTAACAACATTTTGATTAAAATGGTTAAGGGAAGGTTATTATCAGTCAGAAATCAAACCAACTTTGCCTAAATATAACAATATTTGAGATGTACATAAAGTATTACTATATATTTCTAGTCTTCCTGCCTATAATGAACTACATTTATTACAATTATTTCAAAAATTGTCAACTTTGTTAATGTTGTTAACCGGACAAAGATGTCAAACAATTCATTTATTAAAATTGTCTGGTTTACAGATTTGTAATGAAGTTGTTTGTCACGTATCAGAATTAATGAAACAGTCTAAACCTGGGTTACATGTGAAACCAAAGCAAATTTGTAGATATTTAAATGATCCGCTATTATGTTTAGTAAATATATTATTGGAAACTTTCATCATCATTACATCTAGATGTAGAGGGACTGAACCCAAACTGTTCATTTCAACTGTAAAACTCTTCAAAGCAGGGACTAAAACTATAGTTGCTAGACGGATAAAGTAACTATTGCAACAGTCTGGTACTGATATGAACAAATCTGGTGTTCATAGTTGTCGTGCAGCATCAACATCAGCTGCTGCAACTAAAGGTGTTCAAAAAGATTCTATAATGAAAGCAGCTGGCTGGAGTTCAGCATTTGTATTATAATAAAACTGTTGAACAATCTTTTGTCAGATATGATTTTAAATGGCACAAACATTTAAAATAAAGGTGGTTAAATCATGACCTGGGTAATTTTTACTATAAAATTGTTTACCCATTCAAGGGTGTTAATCAACATGTTATAAATTAGATTTATGTTTAGCATTTGTCTCCCTTCTTTTTGTGAAAACTGTATTATGAAAAGTTTTTATTCAATCACAATTGTTTGAATACAAATATTAAATTATATATTTACAGTTTTTTCTATTAATAGATGATACATGCCCACACATCAATATAATAATATATAAAATAGAAATTCTTGGCTGCCCAACCCAAAGCAGTTTAGTTTATCATTTATACACTAACTATGAAGAATAAATTTGACTCTCTGTCCTGTCATGTAAAATCTAAGTCACTGGTAGTTCAATAAAATCTTAATCTATCTTCAAAAGTCTAGATTAATTTACCAATTTTACTTTAACAAAAATAAAATAAAATAATATCATTCCAAAAATCGCAGTACACATTGTATAGAAAAAAATCAATGTACCCAATTCAATGCGTACCCTGTCTTGCGATTACTAGCACAAGTTATTCCAATCACTGTGCCTTTCATGGAAGCCTATATATTTTAAGCTGAACCTTTCTTGAGATAAAAGGAAGTAAACTTATTTATATACTGTATATAAAAATAGAATTATTAGGTAAAAGATGATGCAACAAAAGCTATAATACTGTACTGTTATTTTCTAAGAAGATTTTCTCAAGCTGTGTCTTCAAGTTTTCTTTTTCTGTACAAAGTTTTTTAACAGATTCCTCTCTAACACTATATTTCTCTTGATCTGAAATTGAATGATTATGGTTAGCCTGGGATTCAAGTGTTGTTTTTGCTTACATGTATCTATAACATACTAGTTTTGCTTACTTATAACATACTTTTTGCTTATTCAGAGCATACACGCTATTTCGTATTCATTTGTGTTTGATAGTATCGATTTGGAGAACAGACACAAATAAAAAATTAGACAGACTGGAACCCAGGCTAGATTATGGTCAGTGTTCAGATTTTTTCAAAGATTTCTCTTCTGTGCATGTGTATGAGAATTAAAAAAAGATTTGTTATTTTACTAATGGTGCAAGGTGTAATATTATGAACAGAACAGAAAAGAAGGTTTATTTAGTTGTATGCATGGCACAGCATATAGACATATACAAACAAAATATTCATACAAACAATGCATGGCATTTATATTCTCATATAAATTATACATGTTATCATATTTACGAGAGTGTTGTATTTTAAACACAGTTTAGTAACTCTTTGTCTTTTGTTAAATTACTTTAACAAATATACAAATACAATGCAATATTATGAAATAATGAAGCTTGTTCGGGAAATCAAATTGATATAATTAATCTGCATGATTTATGCGAACTATGACGGAACTTTCTATTCTGATCACCTTATTTCTACTTTTTAAACCCTTAATCTGGCCGTTTGGGTAGAAACAGTTGACACCAGCAGGAAAAGGGTTAAAGGCAGAAAAGTTTATCTGATATGAAATCTACAAGAGTATTAATTTTTGAACTTACTTGATTGATATTTTTCTCTTTCCATCAGCAAATCTTGAAACATGGAACTTAATTTTCCTTCTCTCTCTGTGCTGCAAGAACTTCTGGGACCAAAATTGATATAGAATTGGGAAATATTGGCACAGAATTTCTCCTTTTCATCCTGCAAGTTCTTTTTAACAGATTTCTATGTGAAAAAAAAAATAAAAAAAATCTTTATTGGTTACATAAATGATTATATAAACTTTAGCATTGCTCGATTTTTTAATGAAAAAAAATTCGAGCTATTGTTACAGTCATGATTAGGGGTGTGGATCGTCGGATAAGTGACGATCCGATCCCAACCAAGATTCAGCACTTACGATTCACAAATCGAACCACGAACCTTTTGTTAACAAGACACCCTTTAAAAACATGAACAATAGTTCTAAAAAAATGTTTATTTTTCTTTAAACACTACTTAACATTAAACATATAAAATAATGCAAACATAAACTAAGTTAATGTTTTTGTATTTTCTGATCGTAAGATCAGTAAATACATAGCTAACATCCACGGTCTAACACAAAATTTCCTCACAGTCCTAACAACGCAAAGTAGTTCTCACTCAAAACTGCTTAAAAACCAGCAATTTAAAAGAAAGAATAATTTTTAATGTAGGCATTTAACGAATTACAGTGCATTAAAAGTTTAGATTAGTCAACAGAAGTATAAGGTTACAATCAAGACTTTCGCGGATGAATATCTTTTTTACCCAATGAAAAATGTTTGGCTATTTCCGTAAAGCTTCGGATTATCATGATTATCATTTTAATCAATGAAAATGCTATTTTTAGCTATGTCGATTACCGAATACTCCAGAGCGTAGTACACAAATAAATCTGACTGTCGAGTAGTGGAATATATACATGTCGGACTGTTTTGGCGAGAAGATTTTCGCTAATTTATTTTCATCAGTGTTTTAAACAACAGGTTTATCGTGAACAAAATACCTCGAAATTAATAAGGATTACAAACACGAAATGGAAATTCTCAATTTAGAATTACATAATGTATTCGTTTTTATTCAAGGTACATATGTATAACTTCGCCGTGGTGCAGAGGTAAGCGGTCTCGTTGAGGGTGTGAGAGGCCTATGGTTCAAATCCTAGTCGAGGCAATTCTATTTTTTTTTCATGCAAAATTCCATATGTATCAATCTCAAACTGTTATAGAAGAAAATCAAAACGCTGTCGCTGCGTAAGATGAATTATAGTATATAAAAATAAACTTATACAGGAAAGTACATACAGATAGTCAGTATGATTTAGATTGCAAAAATCAGAAAATACCATAGAGCTGCAGCCCTTTGATTTATTCTTGGCATGAGTATCTTAATGTATATTTGTGCAACCTTATAATACAAAAGTATTTCAAAACATTGGATGTAAACTTTGCTGGTTGTATTTTGGTAAACATTGCATAATTTATACTCAAATTGTATTTTTCCCCGAACTTTAGAGTGTGAGAAACAGAAAAGGGATATAAACAAATAAGATCGCGATTCACGATCCCAGGACTGATGAATATTTGTACTTGATTATTCATTGCGATTCGTGATTATCTGAGTACTCGGATACTCGCCCCAGCCCTAGTCATGATGTTGTTCCCATTGCTGTCCACAAACTTAAACATTGGTCCTTGACCTTTTACCCATTACTGCATGAGCATTTTGTGAAAAATGGCTGTTCATAATCATTGAAAAAGTTCAAATTGCTATAAAACTATAAAAACTGCTTCAATACTTATGAAACTTGGCAAAAATGTTGACTTGACCATTTACTTTGTAACAACAGGCTCAGTCTTAAATTTCCTCTTACAATGGCAACGAGGGGACATCTTGAAATTGCCAAAAATCACTATTTTGCATTGATTGTTTCCATCAAAATAGATTTCAAAGTGCTGCAACTTCTCAATGGATTGATCTAGAGTCAAAGGCTTTTCAGCATTGGTCACACGTTACCTAATGATCCACCTGGGGTCATTTTTAGCCTCTCACAAGTCCAAAATTTTCTTGGCGATGTGGGGGCTACTGCCCTCTTCAAACCCCCAAACAGAAAGGGGCACATCCCCCTTCTGGGACCCCCCCCCATGTATCTTTTGGATAGGGGGTGGCTCTGAAAAAGTGGTCAATTTTTTAAAGAACATTTCTCAAACAAAATCAAGTGTTTGGAGCCTAAATTAGGCATTTTTTCAACATTTGAGACAACAAAAACAGGGGGTGGGGGTGAAAAAGGCGTTAAAAGACGTGTATATCGAGTAATGGGTTAAATGACCCTTATTGAAGATGAAGCTTAACAATTTAGTACTTTATTTTAAGAATAAGATATGTTATTGGTTAAAAGTTTGTGTCTGGTTATTCTTTCTGTTTCACTTTTGGACAATAACATTACATGTATTTATTTCACAGGCATGACTAAAACTTATGTTGTCTTGAGCTTCAGTTATATGTCTTGCGTCTTGTTACTGACACACATTGCTCAGAATATTTATAATTGTACCTTTTCCTCTTCAAGACCTTGTAGTTGCTTCTCAAGGTCAGACAACTGTTGTTGGTATATTGTTTCCTGGGAGGACAACCATTTACACATCAACTCTTTGTCACTTAGCTCACCAACCTGTTTTATTTAATTGAAACTTATTTAAAGTAAATTGTCCTAAACTTGACATGTTTGCTTTAATTTTCTTTTTTAAGTGATCAATATTTGGTTGAATATCAGGACAAAAATAATTTAATCTCAAATTTTCAAAAGAAAAGCAGAGCTATTGTCAAGGCACACTAGGTGGCAGCATTTGTTTAACTTTTTGGTTAATTTTTTGTATTTTCTGATCAAAGATCAGTAAATACATAGCTAACATCCACAGTCTAACACAAAATTTCCTAACAGACCTAACAACGCAAAGTAGTTCTCACTCAAAACTGCTTAAAAACCAGCAATTTAAAAGAAAGAACAATTTTTTGTTTAATACAAGTGTCCAACAAATTACTACACATTCAAACTTTAAAAGTAGCGTTGGCTTATAGAATTGTCAATAAATGCACACTCACAAATTACGCGGATGAATATGATTTTAATCAATGAAAATGCTATTTTTAGCGATGTCGATTACCGAATACTACACAAATAAATCTGACTGCTTTATGATATAGTTTCATAATGATATATTAGGCTGATCAAAGTAAATAAAAAGGTTAAACTATAAGCAACAGAAACAAAAAGTACGCTCCACGAAAGAACATGTATAGATAAGAGTAAATAAAAAAAATCGCATGCTCATGCAGCGTTTTACCGTTTTGAAATTATTGACTTTTTAAATTAGCATTTTAAAAAAATAATCTAATGGCCACAACCGTACACCGTACGCCGTTTTTGTTATCTCCCTTTGTTGCTCTCCAAGCAGAAGTTCGCACGCGCGAGGAATTCGAAGGTGTAAACAGTCGATGTTTTCACAGATTTTTTGCCTTTGGAGACAGAAAAAAGGTAAATTATTGATGGTCTTGAAAAGATAATACAATGCAGAACATGCATTTCATATAATCTTCTTTTAAATTATTTTTTTCCAAACATTTAGAACATAAAGCATGTAGATGACCTTGGTTATATCTCACGGGGCTGGAGGCAGATATTTCAGATATCTGGTGTATGTCTATCTCTGTTATGCTTATATTAACTTTGTTTTTTGTACAAACTAAGAATAATCACGCAAAGAGTGATTTTTTGGCAAAAAATATTGTTCCGGTAAGCAAACGCTCGTTATTTTTTTTTAACTACGGAAGCGGATACGGGTCAAAAGTACGTTTAAATCAATAAAATTATAACACATTTTTTTCGCATTTTACAGTGAAAGTTTGCATTTTTCAGTAAACTTCATCAACATTTTCAACAATTGACTAATCTTGCTGCAGTTTCTCAGCATTTTAGCGTGAACAACAAAATTGAATATACATTTTTGAACTTTCATTTTACAGATATACCGTAACATTGACTGAATCTCTGTAGTGCTGCCTTCTGTTCTGAAAAGATGTTGATATGCAAGAGTCAACTATAAAATGGAATATAATGAATAGTACGTAGATATATTATAACTCTGTGTGTTGAATATAAAATTTAGTTTATTCATGCGCTTCATTTTACTATAGTTACAAACATATACCTTTTAAATTACATATAAAGTAACACTGTAATTATTACAAATTATGTCAAATATGATCAACAAGTTTACATAATAAAATAACAATATTTTAATTTTGTTTACAGACATGTCGCAGGCTTCGCCAGCCCTCACATGTCTGTTGCTCTGTCATAGACTTGGAAATCTTGGCTTAAAAACTTATTATATAGACAGCATTCATAGAAAGAGTTCAATATTTTGTGAAAATAATATAAGCTAAGGTGAGTAAGTTTTTTTTATAAATACTCAGTATCATACATTTGTTCTTGAAAAATATATATTGATTTTATACTTTAAATTTGAGAATTTATAAAAGGAAAAATAAGAGTTTTAGCGCAAACCTTGATTATTTTCATAAATTTTCAGGATACAGTAACACACAAACTTTATGAAAGCACATTGGAGCCTAAAAGAGTGATAGGTACATGATTAATTTGGATGTCATAATTTAAGTGGAAGGTAATTTTAACATGCTATTTTGTTTCAAAATTATGCCAAATTATATTTATGGTAAAATCGATATGAAACAATAGAATGATCTGGTTTGATAAATCTAAATACTGATGAATCAAATAACTTTGATTTTCGATTCAAATTCAAATTTCAGTATCAACTATATACATTGTTTTGTACATGTAATTATATTAGTAATATTTAACATAATAACATATTTAACAGTTAAAATATAGGATGCACATGGAAATCACACATATTTATTTATTTATTTATTAATTTGTTTTAAAGTGTAATTATTTCACTTAACCCTGATATTTTCATTATTAAACAGAAGATGGATTGTCCAATTTGCAAGGAAGAGCTTGGTCCAGACGACAAGAGTATCTCTGCTAAACTGCGTGAAAATGGCTGTGTAACAATTAATCAATTTATTGCAAAAAATGTAATACATATGCTGAGAAAAACCAGGCTGAATTGAGAGTAATTCCTGGAGACTTTATCCATAAAGATTGTAAAAGAAATTACTGACAATAAATCCCCAGCAGAATTGCAACCTTATGCCAGGTCAAATTACAAATTTGATTTTAAAACCAATTGTCTGTTTTGTGGTTCTCCTGCAAAATTAATTAAAGTTAGTGCAAATCAAAGAAAACGAAGTCGTTATGACAATGTGTACCCTGAGTCACAGAATTAGAATTTCAGGTGACAATTGACAATGATATCAAAAAGAGAAATTATGACAACTTGGCCTAGCAGGTATTTGGTAGAATTTCCCATGTGATAGATTTACCAGCAGCAGATGCTATCTATTACCAAGCATGTAGCTCCAATTTTCGAACTGGTAAAGGAATACCTAAACGTTTTTCAGGAGAACAATTAGATCGACTAGTCCATTTAGGAAACAAAAGATAAGTCCTAAGAGAACCCCAGTTGACGTTATGGAATCATTTATAAGCGTAACTAAATATAGTAAGTAAGTAAGTAAGTAACGACTTTATTTTATGAGGCTAACACATTCAGTTTCCCGATCTTCCATGCGGGCCTCAGTATATACAAAACAACATAAAATACAATCACAATCAACATTTAGACAACATAATATGTACATTAAACATCATATCAATACAATAAATAAGTAAACAATTTTTTCTTCTTACATAGAGAAGTGACATTTTCATAACTTCAGCATGGAAAGTATATGTTTTTGAAACAATATGTACAAACAATTAGTTAGAAAATTGCCACTGGATATAGGAGGATTGAAATTTCCTCAGGGTATCAGAATTTCGAATATGGATTGGTATACTGTTCCATACCACAGGACCAGAGTAATTAAATGATTTTCTAAAAAATTCTGTTTTTGGTTTGGGTACAGTTAGTTTTTCATTTTGTATAGATCTTAAGTTAAAGTCATGTTTGTCATTTATTGTTTGGAATTTATTTTTCATATAAATAGGAAAGGATGGTTCATTTATAGATTTATACATGAGGATTGCCTTTTTGTACATAATTCTTTGATCAAAGGACATCCAATTTAATTCTTTAAATAGAATATTTGATGGGGTATCAAAACTTTTGTCTAAAATAATTCTTGCAGCTCTTTTTTGAAAGTTCACAATTTGCGAAAGTAATTCACTACTGCAGTTTCCCCAAATAGTGCAACAGTAGTCAATATGTGGCAAAATATAAGCATTAAAAAAGAGTTTTCTGGAGTGGAGATCAAGGTACTGTTTGATTCTAAGAAGCAAATAGAGCTGTGAATTGCATTTTTTAATAATATTTTGAATTTGTGTTTTCCATTTAAGATTTTTGTCAACCTGGACTCCTAGCAGTTTTTCAGTGTCTGTAAATTCTATCTCTTTGTTTTGAAGGTGCAGAGTAGATGAAGCAGTATTTTTTGATTTAGTATTTTTTAAAGAGAAATTTATGGCCTTAGTTTTTTGTGCATTTAATATCATTGCATTTTGCCTACACCATGTGCTAACACTATCAAGATCAGTTTGAAGATTATAATTCATTTCCGTTAAAGTACTTCCAGTAGAAGTAAGGGAAGTGTCGTCTGCAAACATATCGGTAGTTGACTGTTTAACATGAAGATGGATGTCATTTATGTATATCAAAAATAGTAGGGGCCCAAGGACTGAGCCCTGAGGCACTCCTGAGACAACTTCAGCTGGTTCAGATAAAACACCAGACACATTTACTTTTTGTGACCTGTCTAATAGATAAGATCTTATCCAATCTATAGTATGTGAAGAGAAATTATAGAAAGGTAGTTTTTCTAGAAGAATTTGGTGGTTTACTAAATCAAAGGCTTTTGATAAGTCTAGAAAAACAGTTCCGACAAGTTTGCCGTCATTCAGAGCACTGATCCAATTATCAATTGTATTTGTAAGAGCTGTCTCACATGAATGATGTGCCCTGAAGCCTGATTGATGTGTAAAGTTAAATGGTTTGTTTCTAAATAGAGCTTTAATTGGTCTAATACATGTTTTTCAATTATTTTAAAGATAAGGGGAAGTATTGAAATTAGTCTGTAATTATTTTTGTCTCCCTTTGGACCTTTTTTGTAAATTGGTGTTACCTTTGACTGTTTTAGCTGAGTTGGAAATTTTCCACTTTTTATGCTTAGATTTATAATACTACATAGAGGTTTACTTATGACATCAGCTGCTGTTTTTAGGATTTTGCACCAATACCATCTAGGCCTGTTGCTTTTGTGGCGTCTAGACTATTGAGTTTCTGATTTACATAGCTTAAGTCAACAAAGGGTATTTCATATTTATTTGACTGATTTGAAATTTTGGATTTAACCGATTCTTGTAAAGCAGTTTTCAATTCATATGATAATCCTTCTGATACATTTTCAGCTTTTTCAAATACACTTGCAAAGAAAGTATTAAAGGTTTCTGCTGTTAATTTTGGATCAGTTATCGGTAAACCATTCTCATCATTTATGTAAGAATTTTGTTGAACATTTGTTTTGCCTGATAGGTTTTTCAAGTTTTTCCAAAAGTTTTTTAGGATTTTTCTTATTTGAGTTTATTTCATAATGAAAGAAATCTTTTTTTTGCTGTATGAATAAGTTTTTTCACTTTTAATTTCCAATATTTTGAAGTTATCAACATTATTTTTCTTTTTTGCATAGTCCCTGTTATGTATTGCATTAGCTATATCCTCATTGAACCAATCAGCTTGGTTT